TATGGATTGATGAGTGGTAGATGCAAGGTTGGCCAGCAAAGTTATTGAATAATTTTCAGGGGCAATGGATAAGGAGCTTAGCAACAATGTAAGTTGAAGGCACAAGATTTTTGAAATTAAGCAACAGTCTGTTACTGGAAAAATTGCTGATTAGCTTGATGATGCCTCCGATCGAACTGTATGTTAATAATGCACCTTATGGAGATGGATTGGGCCCCTGCCCCACCCCTGACAGCTTCTATGAAGCTACAGCCTGCAAGGATCCAACTCCATAACTCAAGGTAGTCATTGAAAATGAGTGAAGTGAGGGGTTGCAGAGAAGCACAACCAAGTTGTTTTTACGATATACTGTGTGCAGAATAAGTTGTATTTTTATTTGTTTATAAAATCATATTTTAGATTTTTTTACTCCTATGGAAGCAGATTTGTTTATGTAGCTCAGTAGACAGTAATTGTAAATAATCCAACTTGCCTCCCCACACATCTTTTGTGCTTCAACAGTAAGTCATTATCTGAAATATTGGTGACCTTAAGTATTGTTTATAAATTGCCTTCCAGTGTAATTGATATAAATATACATGATCAGCCTAAGTACATAGTAACTGTTCCCTACCTGTACACCCTACCCCTTCCAAAGATGCTGTCTCATTTGCTCCCAATGTCTTCTAGGTAACTGATCACAACTGAGACCAAACATCCCATGCTGTATGACTGTAGGACGCTATGTTATCACTTAATTTCCAGACACCCATTCTTGCATTCGGTAATAGGAGCTGAGGGTGGAGAAGATATGTACTTGGCTGGTTCACCACATGCCACCACTTACCATCCTATCTACCACTAGGGATCACAGCGCTGAGTTCAGATAGTTTGTGGGGTCATACTGCCCTGTGTGCCCATTCAACAGTGGGTAGTGAGTTCATCAATATGTGGGTGGTAAATTTGTGTGACTCCGTCCCTGAGGCTTTTTTAATGTCATCCATGAGTTGTGAGCGTTGCTTAAGGTCTGTATCTGTTGCCCACCCAAAGTTGCCCCTCAGAAGGTGATGGTGAGCCAACTTCTTGAACCCCTTCCATCTGTGATACCAGTACGCCCACAGTGTTGCTGATCAGGGTATTCCTGGAATTTTGGCCGAGCAATTGTAATGGTATTCAGAGTTCCAAATCAATGTGTATGGTGGGGACTTTGCGCAGATGGCGTTTCCTTGTGTATGCTGCCTTTGTCCTTTTTAGGTATCAGAGGTTGTGGTTTGGAAGGTGCTGTTGAAGGAACCAGTGTGTCTTGCCACTGTTTGCAGATGATGGGACGCCAAACATGGCAGGACTGGTGGTCTGAAGTTATTTATTTTAATGCAAGGAATATAACTGGTAAAGCAGATGCTTAGAGTCTGGATTAGCGTGGAACTATGATGTAGCCATTTCAGAAACTTGCTTGAGAGAAAGATAGCATTGCAGTTTGACATTTCAGGCGTGATAGAGAAGGATGTAAAAGAGGTGAGGGAGTTGCATTACTGATTGAGGAGAAAGTACACCTCTAACAAGGAGAGGACATCTTGGAACACTCAACCAGTGAGGCCATTTGGGTAGAACTCAGGAATAAGAAAGTTGCAATCACTATTCAGCCAGAGGGCGGTGATTCTGTGGAACTCATTGCAGAGGGATGTGGAGGTCAAGTCACTCAGCGTATTTAAGACTGAGATAGGTTCTTGATTGGTAAGGGAATCAAAGGCTATGGGTGAATGCATCATGTATGTTCTTTCCATGTTCAACAATTCTTGGTCGGCACTTGAAACTTGAGTTTCTGACCTGGAGGTAGTCCAATGTGCCACAAGACCTTCAGCACTACACAGCTGAAATTACAGGAAGGCTGTGAAGCTTCTGGGTGAAATTTGATTAAAGATTGGATTATTATAAGGCTTATTGGCATTAGCACAACTGACAAACCCCCAGTTACTAGAGCAATTGGATCTTTTGTTTTGATTCATTCACGCGATCTGGGTGTCCCCAGCTGGGCCAGATTTGTTACCAACTCTCGTCCCTCAGAAGGTGATTGTGAGCTACCTCCATACACTGCTGAAATCCATTTGGCATAGGTATGCCCACAATGCCTGTAAGGAGGAAGTTCTGGGATTTTGACCCAGTGACAGATAGCAATGTATTTCCAAGTAAGGAGCATGATTGACTTTGAAGGGATCTTGTTGGTGAATGTGCTGCCGTGTCCATCTAGATAGCCATGGTTGTGGGTTTAGAAGGATCTCTGGATTTCTGCAGTGCAATTTGTAAGTGGAACACATGATTACAGTTGAGAGGCAGTGGTGGAGTGAGTGAGCGGCAACATATCCACAAACAATCGGATTACCTGTTTTGGATTTGTCCTGCATTTTGTGTAGAGAACGTACCTGGGCTATTTTTCCTCATTCAGGTAGACGCCAGTGTTGTAACTGCAGTGGAACAGTTTGGCAAAGTGTGCGGGAAGTTCTGGAGTTTAAGTCTTTGGTACGATTGCTGGGATGTTGTCAGGGCCCATAGCCTTTGCAGTACCCAGTGCCTTTATCTATTTCTTGATGTCCTGTGGAGTGAGTCACATTGGCTGAAGACTTGCATCTGTGATACTGGGTATGTCTGTAGGAGGCCAAGATTGGTTATGCAGTAGACACTTTTACCTAAAGACTGTTGCAACTGCTTCAGCCTTATCTTTTACATTGATATGCTGAACAAATCCTTTATATGGATGTATTTGTGCAGCCGCCTCCTGTTGAGTTATTTAATTGTGTATGAATATTCACGACTGGATGTGGCAGGGTTGCAGAGTTTAGATCTGATCTGTTGTTTGTGGAGTTGTGGAGCTCAATCTGTCACTTGCAGCTTATGTTGTTAGGCACAAGTAGTTCTAATTTATAGCTTCACCTGGTTGACACCTCATCTTTAGGTTTGCCTGGTGCTGCTCCTGGAATACCTTCCAGCATTCTTCATTGAACTAGGGTTGACTCCTTGTCTTGATGAGAATAGTAGGTTTGGATGATATGCAATCCATGATGTTGCATTGGCTTTGAGTACGGTTCTGTTGCCACTGATGGTCCGCAGCGCTCACGGATGCCCAGTCTGGAGTCGCTAGATCTGTTTGAAGTCTATTCCATTTTGTGTGGTGATACTGCCACAGAACACAAAAGGGTATTTTTGACGTGAAGGCGGATCTTCATCTCCACAAGGACTGTGCAGCAGTCACTGTCACCAATATTGTCAAGGACAGGTGGACCTATGGAAGACATATTGGTGAGCATGAGGTCAAGTGTGTTCCCTCAATGTCTGCCACTGACCTAATGAGCCACTACATTCTTTAGGACTCTATCAGCTTGGTCAGTTGTGGCACTGCCAACCACTCTGGACATTGAAGTCTCCCAGCTAGAGTATATTCTGCATGCTTGCTGCCCTCCGTGTTTTCTTCAGGTCATGTGCAACATGGACGCTGATTCGTCAGCTAAGGCAAGGAGGTACAAAGCAGCCAACAGGAGGTTTCCTTGACCATATTTGAAATGGTGCCATGAGACTTCATATTGAGGACTCCCAGGGCAACAACCTTTTGACTGTATATCACTGTACCTCAACTTCTGCTTGATCTGTCCTGTCAATGAGACAGGACATATGGCGATAGTGTGTCTGAGGAATTGTCGGTAAGGTATGATTCCATGAGTATGACTGTCAGGTTGTTGCTCAGCTAGTCTGTGAGACAGTCTGTGGTGTGTTCTAATTTTGGCACTAGCTGTCGGATATTAGTGAACAGGGCTATATTCTCCATGGTTGCTTCTAGTGACTTAGGTCGTCCATCTAGTTTCATTCCTTTGTTTTGAGACTCTTGTGGTTGATACGAATGAATGGCTGGCTAGGCCATGTAGGAGAGCAGTTAAGGGTATACCACGTTGCTGTGGGTCTGGAGTCATGTGTAGACCAGACCACGTGAGGATGGCAGTTTCCTTCCCTAAAGGCATTAGTGAACCAGATAGGCTTTTATGACAATCGATAATGGTGTCTTGAGCATCATAAGACTTGCAATTTTTACTTTCCAGATTTTTATTAATTTCAAATTCTGTCATCTGCCATGGTTCATTACCTGGGTCTCCAGATTACTAGTCCAGTGACAGTCTGACTGGGTCATCGCCCGCCCTTTGACTCATTAGATATATTTACATTTTCTGATTCAAAGCGCTCTGGATTTGCTCCTTGCTCCAACTGATGCCAGTGGTGAAGAAACAAGCGTATGGCTGTGGATTTTGCTTGGCTACCCAATAGATTGTTGCCCTGTGAGTGGCCTTTTTGGATGCGGAATCCTCTTATTGTAAAGAGCTAACTGCTATTGCCGGTACGAAGGTGTCACTTTTCCATCACAGCTAAGCAGGCTGTTCGCCTGTAAAACCTTCCATCGCTTGACAGTGCTCTCTAAGGAGGAGCATGAAGCTATGTAAACAATCACTGTGGGGCTTTTGGGGATGAGGCAGCAAGTCACAGGTCTAGACAACTGGGCAGGTGTGATCCAAAGCTGGCAACAAAAGCCAGGGACAACCATTCAACAAATACATGTGATAATATTGTTAATACTGTAATTAAACAAGGGTGGGGGTAGGCAGCAAGAGCTAGCACTGACCTCAGGAATGACTGTGCGACTTGGATAAATAGAAGTGATTCGTGGTTGTTTTGGGAGGCATAGGGCAGGACGCATGACATCATGTTCTTTTTTGGGCTCCAAAGTGAGAGCATAGATTTGTTTGTGTTTGCCTTAAACAAATGTTTGCAGATGCCAAAAAAAATTGCAGCAGTGACACTTAACACTTGCTGTAATGTGCTGCCGTTGGATTTGACATTGGTCTATTTATTTGGCAGTCATAATATTAAGGAGTGTAACTTTATGCACACTGTCACCTACAGTTGCAATATTTTAGTGTCCAGACCACACTCCAATTTTAGTCTAATTTTTAATGTATTGATTGTTTGTCTTTCCTCCCCAGATTTCCTATTCAAGTTCCTGGTAATCGGCAGTGCGGGAACAGGGAAATCATGTCTCCTACATCAGTTTATTGAAAACAAATGTAAGTTTTGGGACTTTCTTTGGTTGCCGGGTTGATGACAATTTGAGATGTGTAGATGCATGTGCTGTGGGGTTTTCCCGGGTAGACCTAATTTAGGTCATGGTGGTGGTAACATAGAGTGTATTTGGGGAAAGGGAATCCGCTGTCCTGTCCTTGCACTGTGCAATACAACCATATGATGTAATTGAGATTTCCTGGTCAACAGTTTTCTCTCCATTTCTTAGAGTTGCTCGCTGTTGACCCAACACGGTGGTTTACAATCATATCTCACCATGTAATTATATTTCATGTGCACCCAGGTACTGACAGGTCTAATGGACTGCATTGGCAGGTGTGGTTTTATCATAACCACAACCTATCCTATCTACCTGGAATGTATCTCTTTCTCACTGTAAACGCTGCTGACTATTTCCAAGTCTCAGCAGCAACATTTTGTGTTACTGGTTTTTTCCTATCCTTGGGAAAGTGAGGTGATTCAAACATCCTGCCTCTGACCAGCAACTTCCTTCTGAGGAAGGGTCACTGGACCCAAAACGTTAACTCTGATTTCTCGCACAGAAGCTGGCAGACCTGCTGAACTTTTCCAGCAATTTCTATTTGATGTTTCTGAGGCATCCGCAGTTCTTTTGAGTTTTAACTTAGTGCAGTTCAATTTACAAACAGACATAGATGCAATGGGCCAAATGGTTGTCTTTTTATGAATTGCTAATTTTCTTGAGGTTACAGATTTGATAGAAACATAATCTGAGCGAATAACAGACATAAACCTGCAGCTGCCAACCAATAACTCAATACATTTGGTTATGGTTCATGGTTTCTAAGGTACAGTCCTTCATTATAAGGCCACTGTGACTAGGTGATCTACTGTTTGAGCAATACAACACAGGGAAGCAGTCAGATTCCAAGACATGCTGGCCTCGTACATTTAATAATTTTTCAGCTCAGTTCCAGAATGAAATGTCCTTCTAATGTCAGCATACCTATTGGAGGGAAAGCAGTCTTGCTACTTGGCCCAGGTCTGCTAAACCGTGCAGGCTGATAGCCAGGTTAATTTTTTTTTTGAATAAAACGTATTCATTGTTAACTTATTAAATGGTTAGTGAAGCGTCTTGGTTTAGCTTCTGTTAGGTCCTTTGGTTATCATGTCAATACTCTGTCTCCAGTCAAACAGGATTCGAACCATACGATTGGTGTGGAGTTTGGGTCGAAGGTAGTTAATGTAGGGGGCAAGACAGTTAAACTACAGATCTGGGACACAGCAGGACAGGAACGTTTCAGGTGAGTTGATCAGGTGTTCTCTTTATTTTTGTTTGTGGTTGCCATGGTAACAAATTATATCACGTGTATGATATGTAAAGTAGCTGGATATTAAAAACTCAGCCTACTCCATTTTTTTCTGTCCTCGTCATTATTTCTGTCTGATGCTGATTTTGTTTGGAAGTACTGTCCACAACAAGGTAAAGAAACTAAGCTGTGGTGAGAGTGATTGCTCTTGACCTAAAGGCTCCATTCGGCTGAGTGTGTATCAAGGAACCCTAGCATTAGAACTCTAGAATTAGGAAAAATCCTCCACTGGATGGATTCATACCTAGTACAGAGGAAGATGGATGTGGTTGTTGGAGGTAGTCTCCTTAGCTTCAGGCCATCTCTGCAGGAGTTCCTCGAGGTATATGTTTCCTAATCAGTCTGTTCAGAGATGTTATTACGTACCTCCAGAACAGGTGAGACTTGAACCCAGACCTCCTGACCTACAGAGAGGTTGCCAGGCCAACGATCTTCAGCTGCTTTGTCAATTGCTATCCTGCTCATGAGATCAGAGGTATGGAAATTGGCTAAAGAATTGTATAATGTTCGGCATCATCCACAACCACCGCCTTCAGTGCTTTGTCCAAGTGTTGCTCAACGTGGAGAAGTACTGATTCATCAGACAAGGGGAGGAGATGGAAAATGGTAATCAACAGGAGACTTCTTTGCCCATGTTTGATCTTGAGATTTCATGGAGTCTAGAGTCAACGTTCAGCACTCCTTGAACAAATCCCTCACAACTGTATACCACTGTGCCACCATCTCTGCTGGGTTTTTCCTTCCATTTGGGAGAAGACATACCGAGGGATGGAGATAGTGCTCTCTGGACATTGTATTTAAGATATGGTTCCTTGACTGTCATGCTGTTGCTTGACTAGTGTGAGACAGCTATCCCAATTCTGGCACTGGTTCCCAGATTTTATTCAGGAGGACTTTACATGCTTGACGGCCGATTTTGCCGTTGTCATTTCCGATACTTTCATCATGTCAGGTGGTCCGTCCGATTTCATTCCTTTTTTCCTTTCTAGTGATTGATACAACTGAATGGCTTGCTAGGCCATTTCAAAGGGCAGTTAAGAGTCAACCACATTGCTGTGGGTCTGGAGTCACATGTAGGCCAGGCCAGGTAAGGACGGCAGATTTCCTTCCCTACAGGATGTTAGTCAAGCAGATGGGTTTTTAACAACAGTCAACAATAGTTTCATGGCCATCATTAGCCTTTTAATTGCAGATCTTTGATGAATTCAAATTCCACCATTTACTGTGGTGGGATTTGCACGTGATCCCCAGCACATTACCTGGGTCTCTGGATTATTAGCCCAGTGACAATACTATGAGATCTCCCAAAATTAACATGTCAGGAGTTGTTTTTAAAATCTGTTGGATCTGTCCTTTTCTATTTGAGCATTGTGTGGCATTTGATCGCTACTAACCATTTTTACTACTAATTAAAACTTATTAATTCTGAATGTTAAAAATTATCTGTATGTGTATTGTAGATTGTATAGTAAAACATTGTTCGTTCCGAACCATGGAATAAGGTTGTTGGCTTGCTCGCTGAGCTGGCTGGTTATCATACAGACGATTCATCACCGTGCTAGGTAACATCATCGGTGTGGCCTCCAATGAAGCGATATTATTCTACTCTGCTTGGTATTTATATGATCCAGTCTGTTAAGTTGGTTTGTCATTTCCAGTTGTGTTCTGCATGAGTGTATATATATATGGGGTCTATTTCCACATGTTTATTGATTGCATTACGGGTTGAAAACCAGGCCTCTAGGAATTCCTGTGTGTGTCTGTAGTTGGCTGGAGCTAAGATGGTCACTTTGTTCCGGATAAATTGATGGCAATACCACGGTGAGCCAGCCAACAACCTCATCCACAACCTGAGCTACAAATCTTTACAAGAGCCGTGGAATCTTGTGGTTTTATTCTCTTTGTTCACTGGATCTCATCTTTTGACCGCCTTAAAAATAAAGATTATTAGTCCCTCACCAGATCATAACATGAAGTTGGCAGTCTGATCATAGCATTGGTGAGTGATGGAAACATCAGATCAGATGGCCCTTTTGGAAACTCTGCACATATGAGTTTCTGGTGAGAGGAAGGTTGAGTTTGGCTTTGCTTCTGACAGATAAAGACACCTGTCCATAATTTAAAAAGTCCATTGGAAAGGTGCGCACATTCAGAATAGGCCCACTAAAGAGCCCTGAATCATATATTGGTGTTTTGAGGAAGGTAGAAAATGATAAGATCTAATTAACTTCACAGCTAGCATTTCCCTGGTTCTGTTTCTTGACCAGTTTAAACAGTTTTCCTACACGCACTACCCATGCTTCTCTGAATGCAGTTGATGGGCTTTATGACTGACAGGACAGCTGATTTGCTGTAACGATCCAGAAAAGTACTGGGTTGCTAGAATAAGATGACAAATTTATTTCCTCTCAGGAGTTATACCAAGCTTTCAGAGTCATTGTCCTCAATATTGTTTGATATTTAGCAGCAGAAAAGTGTGAGACAACAGGCATGCTGCATTGAACAATGTCCAGTTCAATAAACAAAAAGCACCTAAGTTCACACCTAATGCTAGAGGCCAGGGTTAATGAAGATTAGACAATTCTGCATAAATTCCCTACTCATTCCCTCCCCATCAAACCTGAGACTGGAATCACTCATATTCACGAGCCTCCTATTTCTTCTAATATCTAAAGGCAGTACCTACTTGTATTTTATGGATCCTATGACTGCAATCATTCTTTGGTTTGCTGAAATGACCGCCTTGCAATTATAAACCTGCAGTCAATAGGCAGTGATCATAGGCACTTGGTCATTATCCTCACTAACTGGGACCAATTATGATGCCCTTATTGCTGCTCCTGCTAAGACAACTTAGCTCGGCATTGACCCATTTGGACTGTGTTATCGGTCTGCTGAACCCTACACAGTTTTTTACATTTGCTGACTGTTCTTTCGGAGGGCATTACCTCATCTCTGTCTGGTCTCTTTCAGATCGGTAACACGGAGTTACTACAGGGGAGCTGCAGGTGCACTTTTGGTATATGACATTACAAGGTGTGTACATGAGTACTTTTCTGCATAAAATGCATAATCAGATGTAGTTTAACTTTCAAGCTTTCTATTTGAACATGGGAGTGAAACATATGCCAGATTTCATGACCTCCACGTGAACATGAATAAATTTCTTTCCCCTTCTGTACTCTTTTTGCTTCCATTGTTATAGATTTGGGCAGTGGCCATGCTCAACTGGTCATTCGATAAGAGAGTGAGCATCATAAGAGTGTTTGCTAGCAGAGGACATCAGTCCCATGGGTGAACACATCAGTGAGAATCACTGAACAGTGATGCAGAGTGGGAATACAGATGTTGCAGGAATACGCACTGGCTGTAAAATCAGATTGACTTTGACAGAGGATGGTTACAGCATAGAGCATGGAGTGAAACTGGGATACCTTGATTTCAGGAATGAGTGGGTTATTTTATGAGGAAAGATTGGTCAGGCTGGGCTTGTTTGCAATAGAGTTCAGAACCAGGAGTGATTTGACTAAAATATAGAAGATCCTGAATAGTCTTGTCAAGGTGGACGGGAATGGTGTTTACGTTTTTGGATGAGCCTAGACAGAGGATTGAAACACTTTGGAACTCTCTGCCTCAGAAGGTGGCGCAGACATGGTCATTGAATTTTTAAAGGCAGAGATAATTAGATTCTTATTAGCCAGGGGAGTCAAAAGTTATCGGGGCGAGGCAGGAGTGTGGAAATCAAAACACAAACAAATTAACCATGATCTTATTGAATGGCAGAGCTAGTTTCAGCAACAAGACCTTAAGACATAGAAGCAATAGTGGGGCTGTTCAGCCCATCAAGTCTGTTTTGCCATTCAGTGAGATTCTGGCTGATCTTCAACTCCTCTTTCCTACTTCCTCCCTATTAGCCTTGATTAAAAATCTTTTTAATTCAGTATTATATATACTTAGCAATCTACCCACTACAGACTCTGATAAAGTATTTAGTAGATTAATTACCTTCAGAAGAAATTCTCCTCACCTGTCTTAAATGGTGACCCTTTAGTCTAAGAGTATGCTAAATGGTCCTAGACACTCCCACAAGAAGGAAACAACCTCTTCGCATGTATCCTGTCAAGCCCCCTAAGAATCTTTTATTTCAATAGGGTCACTTCTCATTCTTCTGTACTCCAGCGATTATGTGCCCAACCCACCCATCATCTCCTCACAAGAAAATTCCTTCAACTCTGGGATGAACCTAGTGAACCTTATCTGGACTACCTCAAATGCTACTATAACTTCTGTTCATAGTATGGTTTGGTCTAATTACTGCCTCAAATACTAGAGTCTTACAGAATGGAAACAGATCCTTCAGGCCAACTCATCTGCTGTGACCAGACACCCCAATCTGACCCAGTCCCATGTGCCAGCATTTGGCCTGTATCCCTCTAAATCCTTCCTAATCATATACCCATGCAGATGCCTTTTCAATGTTGTAATTGTACCCACCTCCTCCACTTCCTCTGGCAGCTCGTTCCATATACGAACCACCCTCTGCATGAAAAAGTTACCCTCAGGTTGTTTTTAAATCTTTCTCCTCTCACCTTAAACCTATGTCTTCCAGTTTTGTACTCCTCCACCCTAGGAAAAAGACCATGGCTATTCACCCTATCCATGGCCATCATGATTTTATAAACCCCAGTAAGGTCACCCCTCGGCCTCCAACGCTCCAGGGAAGTAAAGCCCCAGCCTCTCCTATAGCTCAAACCCAAGACTTCCCTCTTTAAATGATCCATTCCCTTTGAAATAAAGACACATTCTATTTGCCTTCCCTATTGCCTGCTGAATTTGTATTCTAGCTTTTTCACAGTTTGTGCACTGGAACCGCACATCTCCCTGCACTGCAGTTATCTGCAGTCTTTCTCAATTTAAATAGTATTCAACTCCTCTGTTCTTCCTGCTAAAATGAATTAAATAATAGTGGGCCAGCATTGATCTCTGTGGCACCCCTACTCGTTACAAATTGCCTCCTGAGAATACTTCCCTATTCTAACTCTGCCTTCTATTAGTTAGTCAATTCTCTATCCTTGCTTAGTTACTACCCCTAACACATGGGGTCTTATTAAGCAGCCTTACACTAGTACATTATCCTTTAAGAAATCCAAATATATTACACCTACTTGTTCCCCTTTATCTTGCTTGTTAACTCTTCAAAGAACTACAATCACTTTGTCAGGCACACTTTTCCCTCTTGAAGCCGTGCTGATTTTGATTATGTTATGTATTTCTAAATGCTTTGCTATTCCATCTTTTGTAAAAGACTCTAATATTTTCCCAGTGACAGGTGTTAAGGTAACTGTCCTATGGTTACTTTTTTTTTAATTGAATAAGTGCGTTTATGTTGGCAGTTTCCCAATCCCCTGGGACTTTCCCAGAATTTAAGGATTCTTGGAAGATATAATGGGTAAAGGCTGTAGAAAAGACAGGAGATTGGCACAAGGTAATTCTAATTTGAAGAGCCAGTGCAGAAACGATGAAATGAATAACTTCCTCCTGCATTATAATAATTCTGAGATTGTGAACCCTGGCATTGGGCAGCCTTTGAGACTCGCACTGAGAGAACAGTATCTATCATGCTAATTATACTGTCCCCTACCACTTTTACATTCCTTTCTCCTGCATGCTTAAATGGCTGACTATACCCGTGGTGTTGTGGTCAGTTTTCTCACCCTCCCTGCATTCCTGCTCTTGTTCATACAGTGCGGAATGGCCTACTTCTGCTTTGAATTTGTAAGAATGTATGCACAGACTCTTCCTATTTATATGGCATTATGTCATTCTGGTCAGTGTAGTTAATTATTGAACTACCAGAAAAGGGTGTGCCTCTCTTCTCTGGAAAAGAGTATCTGAAAGGTAGTCTAATAAAGGTTTTTAAAATTATGAAATAATTCAGGAGGGTAGACTTAGGTTGGTGTCTGTCTTCTTGCACATTCCTGACCTTTGGTCTACCACTGGTGACCAGGCCTTAATTGTCTGTGTCTTGACTCTGGAATTCCATATTAAGCATCTTTTGTGTTCGCTCCTTTAAGACTCACCTTAAAACAACTTAAATATAGTGCTTTTAATGTAATGAAAAATACCAAGGCTCTTCACAGATATTATGAAACAAAACGTCACCATAAGGAGTGTCAGAAACGTCTATCTTTAACTAACCTCTTGGTCAGGTGTCCCAAAATCTCCTCCTATAGTTGTGTCAAATTGTGGTTGTTACAGCTCTAATGATGCACCTTGAGATTGTTCAGTATGTTAAAATTACCTTTTAAATGTTATGGTATCCAGAGCCAGAGGATTATGAATGAAAAATATAAACAATCTGCTGGAAGTGTTCAGACAATCTGGTAGCATCTGTCAGCGCAACCCACCATCAAAACACTGCTCCCATGAATAGGGTCCAACCAGTCTCCATCTCACATAATGTCCCTGGAATCTTTCCAACTGAATTTACCACCACATTTGAGCAACTTCTTCACCATTGTTCCCTTTAGAGTCTCAGAATCCCTACAGTGTAGAAGCAGGCGATTTGGCCCATCGAGTCCACACTGACCCTCTGAAGAGTATCCCATCAAAATCCTCCCCCTTACCCTGCATTTCCTGTGGCTAACCCACATAGCCTGCACTTGCCTGGACACGTCAGGCAATTTAGCGTTGCCAATCCACCTAGCCTGCACATCTTTGGACTGTGGGAGGAAACCAGAGCATCCGCAGGAAACCCATGCAGGCACGGGGAGAATATACAAACTCCACAGAGACAATGGCCGAAGGGTGGAGTCTAACCTGGGTCCCTGGTGCTGTGAGGCAGTAGTGCTAACCAGTGAGCCACCGTGCTGTCCAAATAAAAGATGTTGCTCTGGGAACTGACATGGGTCCTAGCTCTACCTGACTTTTTGTGGGATATCTGGAAAATTCCTTGTTCCAGTCCTACCTGTGCCCTTTCTTGCCTCTTTTTCCAATATGTTAACAACTGCATTCATATAATTTCCTGTCCCTGCCCTGAACTGAAGCATTCTGTGAAATTTGAGAAATCAGTTATAAGAAGCATCGATCTGTAATAATAACTGTTTCTTTCTGCACTGATGCACCAAGACCAACTGAACATTTTGAATGCTTTGTTTTTATTTCAGATTTCTAGTACGTACAGCACTTTTCTCTGGTTATGAACGTAAGAAAGCCATTAACAATTCCAAAGAGAAACTCATGGACAATTTCTTGGCCTGAGAGTCATGCTAGTATGGAACTGGCTATTGTTTGGAAAAGTTGCAGCGAATAGCTTTGGCCCCTTTTAGGGGAGGCTGGATAAACATACAATCACTAGAGGAATGGCAGAATTTGTTAATCAGATGATATAAAGTAAGGTGGGAGGGGGTTTGCGAAGCACAAACACTGGCATGGGCAAGTCAGCCATTTCTGTGCTGTAATTTCTATGTAATAAAGGTTTGTTAGGGAGGTTACATGCTAATATCACATGAAGGATAGATTGGGACTGAGAGCTGCAATGTCTTGGCACTCATTCCTGCTGTTACTTGTTGTCTATTCTGCTGCATGTATGTGTTATCATGTGGTCAAAACAAGATTGGGCCTGAATATATGATTTCCAGGGGCTTAATCATTATCTGTACTTTGTCCTGGAGCTAAGCAGCTGAAAATGTTCTTTCCAAATACCGCTCAGAATTTCTATGACTCACATAACAGCAGTTGATACATTGAGATGATTCTTGCTTTGCAGAGTATCATATTTGAGAGTCCACAGGTTCAAATACCAGATGAGGCCTCATTTACTGTCAGTTTTTGTACTGGTTGTTTGTGTTTAAAGGACACTTGTGGCTCAGTGGTGGTGTCTGTACCTCTGGGTCAAAAGGCCCGTGTTCAAGTCTTATTTGCTGCGGAAGTGACACAACTTGTTTGAAGAGCTGGTTAAAAATAATTCTATTTCAGATGGACACAGATTGGGCAGTAATACATTGTACTGCACTGGAAATGTCCTTCAAACATTGCAATGTATCAATAGTAATAAACCCAATGACTGCAATATAATCTGCAAAAGATATTGTTAATCTGGAAAAAAAAGGAGTCCCTTCACTCGTAATGCACTAAATAATTTTAACACCAGCTGTTGTCAAACGAGTAACTGAAAACTCTTAAGCAAAGCTCTAGGCTTCAGAGCTGAGCACATGGAATTCTGTGACTGCCGAACCAAATAAACTGCTTCAACCAGTAGCGTGAGTAGAGAAATATGGTTGTCCTCATAGTGAGGGGAAATTCTTCATACAGGAGTATCAACCAGGGTCCCTCTGGGGGAGAAAAAGGATCAGCGTACTGATCTTCTTGAGGCTTGTATTGGTACCTGTAATAACCTTACTACATCAATTCACTGTCAGCATGAATAATGCCTTTTGTGTGATAGCTTTATCCATTACCTCTAATGATTCCCTTGACAGACACTGGCTGCTTTTCAGTAGTGTTATCTAGTTCAGAATGATATAGTGCTAAAATTTTTCTCTCCAAAAAAACCTACCCTTTCCATAAACAGCTGAATCTCCAAAGTAATTGAAACTTCAAGTCATGTGTGTAATGTAAATGGAGTTACAGTGCCAATAATTGCTCTCCTACCTTCCTGCTCACTGTTAAAACAGTAAAACTATGTTGTTAGACCATATCATTCAGGCTAAATCTAGTAGCTGAATTTATTTACACACACACATAATGTCATTAAGTGGCAATGCATAGGAAGTGCTTGTGGTATAATTCTCCTTAAGTAAACATTTCCAAATGGTAAAAAGTTCTTTTATTTTCAGTCCTTACAATAATGTTTACTCAAATTAATCTTTGAACTATATTGTAGGAAAGACTGCACAGGACCTACCAGTCTGTTTAAGTGCCTACCATGCGTAGGAAAGTAAAGATCGTAAGCAAGCCTCACCAGTACCTGAGCAGGTTTACTCTGTAGATTAAGTTCTTTATAATCAAGCACTTTGCTATTAACAATTTCTAATATTTTAAGGATAAACAAATGAACTGTGCCCTTTCAGTCACTTGGTGGATTTGTTTGTCCTTTGCAATTATTCTTCGTGCCTTTGGGGCCATTTTCACTTAAAAATATTCATTGTTCTTTCAAGAATCAGTGGTCAATTATCCCTGTCCTCTTTGTACAAACTGTATCCTGACTGACCGATATCAAACAACCTCCTCTTTGAAACTGGAGAGTATCTGAATAGTATTTTGCTGCTAAACACCAGTTTAAATCATCTGTTATAATCACTCAGCTCTGTGGTGCCACTTTATGCTGTCATTTTGTAAAATATGATTTCATTCTGCCTATATTTTCTTCAAGCACATAGTTGAATTCTGTTTCTGACACAGTAAATCTAGGTGTTTTTCATTGCTTTTTTAAAAAGGCATTGTTTACTCAAACCTACCAAATGCACTGCAGTCCTGGTGTCAGCTATACAATAGTAACATCTCCAATTCTCTTAACTTGTTCCTATTCTTATCAGTGCTTCATTGTGTATGAAAGAATTGTTTAAATCATTAGGTACTGAAGCATAATTTGAATAACCTAAACTATGGTAAAGATAAAATACTGCAATTGAAGCATAAACAGAATTACTGAAACTACTCTTGCCAAGCAGCATCTGTGGAGAGAGAGATGGCTGTTGGCATGAAATGTTCATTCTGTTTCTCTCTGTAGATGCTGTGTGACTTGGGTATTTCCAACTTTATAAGTCTGTTTCATGGTAAATCCTGGAAAATACTTTGTTTCCAGTCAAATGAACAAATGTGGCCACACTCAGCTTACATTTATCTTCCTTCCCCATCACTCCCTTTCTCCCAAATCACCTTTAGACACCTACTGGTTTGAACTGGTTTGTTTTTGATTTCCATCAGTCCAGTTGCTAGTCAGATTGTACTAGTTTGGGTTGTATTTGTATGGCATCTTAAATGTAATAAAACATTCTAAAATTCTCTGTTAAGCTACAGATCCGAGGAACTCATACTGAGTCTATACAGTCTTCCAGTTATGTCTTCTCTCAAGTCCTGTGCTTGGTCTTGGTCACTAAGGCATTTTAGGATTATCCTGGCTTTAAGTGCAGCAAAGAGAGGTTCAGGAGACTTGACTTATTGTGTTTATATAACGATGAAACGCAGGCTACGAAACCTCAGGCCCCTAAACTTGTAAGAGGACTTTATAGAAATTGTGGTGCTAAACAGAACTGAGCAATGGAGCTGGAGTGTTTACAGCTAAATTGAACCTCGGGTGTAGGATAAATAGTTGGGAAACTGATAAAAGCAAAACTTCCCAAACTGATGGCATGAAGCATTTCAACATGGTGAACTGTATATGGCGCAGCCTGTAGTAATAGAGGCAACGTTGGAAATATTGAAGTTTAAGTGCTGTGACGGGAGGACTGTTGGTTTTATTAGAAGGTGAGTCAGATTGACCAATTGGTCTGGCAACTGCACAGATGTTTTCTGAACTGGTGAAGTTAACAATGTGATTGAGTAGTAGTAGAGTAGTAGTAGATGGAGGAAAACAAGTGAAGCCATTCAGCCCTTCATGTTCTGCAATTCATTTATTGGAATGCACTTGAGCCAGATAGCATGTTCTTGTGCTGTTTGTTTATGATTTGTATCATTTATGCACCTCTGTCCAGGAGCTGTTCATACCCTTGCCCAACAAAAATAATTGTAACTATTGCCCTTTATTTCCTTGTTATGTGAAGCCGAGAGACCTACAACGCACTTACAAACTGGCTGACAGATGCCCGGACGCTTGCCAGTCCCAACATAGTGATCATTCTCTGTGGGAACAAGAAGGACTTGGATGCCGATCGAGAGGTCACGTTCTTGGAGGCGTCACGCTTTGCACAGGAAAACGGTAACTATTTACCCGGTCAAGCTGAGCATTTTTGTTTTAACCTGTATCAACCAGTTGTTGGTTTTAATCTGGCTAAGCCAAGACCTGTCATCTGGAGAAGCCTGTGACAGAGCGCGGAAAAGCTTTCATAAGGATCAAATTTTTTGTTCTGTCCCAATCCCCAATTTTCATCCCTTCTCATCCAAGCACTATCTTACCCAAAGGACTTTCTTCAGTAGCCATAGACATTACAGTTGAGCTTTAGTTTGGCTTTGTTCAATGTCCACAGAAGTCACCTTTCCAGCATCAGTCATTAACTAGTGATCTGTTGGGGTTGCTGGTAACCATGGTGGGTGTTTTATGGCTTCTATCCAAATTAAAAGCATTTGTTTTTGTCCTGGCTCATATCAGGGGTAGAATATGGGAGTACTGGAAAATTCCTGATCAGGTACCAGAGAAAAATAAACACGTAACCAAAGCACCCAACCCAATAAAGGAACAAAATCTGAGCCCTATTCTTGTGTTTTAAGTTTTGCTAACCCAGGGACATGAACGTTGGTTATGATAGCTGGATTGAGAACACAGAAATCTAACTATGATGTTGGGTCCATGATCTCCAGATCTTTGAGATCCTTGGCCATACCATTCCGTCCACTAGCCACCAATCCCTTTTGTTTTCCCTGTGACCCAGGGACTGTTCCCCAACACACTGCTTGATAGGCTGGTGGAAGCAGTGTTCATCAGAAGAGAATTGGATACATAGGTGAAGAGGATTGATATGCAGACCTATGGTGAAACCAAAGGGAGAGAGGAGATGCATGTGTCTATGAAATTGACAGTCCAGAACTTGTATTGTGGGCTGAATGGCCTCCTGTAGGAGCTTTGGATGACCGTGCAGGCTGCCATTCCAGGCATTCATCTTGTCAGTCCTTTTGCAAGCCAGCCACCAGGAGGTTTACAATGAGTAATACCTGCTCCTTTATTGTCCTGTGAAGAAGCACCTTTAAGTCCCAGCAGTCAAATGGCTACCATCAATGACACATTAGCCAGTTTGCATCTGTATGTGAATTGTTTCTTTGGGAATTTGTTTTAATGGGGTGTTAGCGTTGCCAGCAAGGCCAGTGTCTGTTTCCCATCTCCAATTGTCCCTTGAACTGCATGACTGACTGCTACAGCATTTCAGAAGGTAGCTCTGAGGGTCTGGATTCACATGCAGACCCAAACGAATAAGGGCAGCTGGTGACCTTCCCTAAACAACACTAGTAAACCAGATCGGTTTTTATAACAATTGACAGTTTGGTTATCATTACCAAGGTTAATTTTCAATTACAAATTTATTAGCTAAATTTAAAATTATATGCTGATATGATGAGATTTAAGACCATGTCCCCGGAACATTATTAAAAGCTTGATAGACTTGTTGGAGTGATCCGAGCAGATTTGAAGGTCACAACCTGTGGAAGTAGGGAACAGACATCAGTCGTCAGGAAAATGCTAGAACCAAAAAAAAAATACTTTTTAAATAAAAATTGGTAAGATTGACCAGCATCAGCATGGGATTATGAAATGGAAATCAACTTTGACAAATTTCTTGGAGTTTTTTTGAGGATGTAGTTAGCAAAGTAAGTAAAGGGGAACTGGTGCGTGTGATAGATTCCTCAGTTGTGAGGAGTTTTACTAGATGGATGCTTGGAGTAAGCAAATGATTTATGGGGATAGCTTAGACAGTTTGGGCTTGTTTCTGCTGTAGTTTAGAAAAGTAAGGGGTTACTTGATTGGAATGTATAAGGTCCAAGGTCAATCTGGAAAGGATGTTTTCTTTTCTTTGGCATCTAGAAGAGAGGGCTGGCTTCATTTAAACCTTGTTCTAATGTACAAATGTCTTACAGGACTTAACAGCGTAGATGTGGGAGGGATGCTTCTCCTGCCTGGGCATGTCTAAAATCAGTGGGCACAGTCTCAGAATAAGGGAAAGGTCATTTGAAAATGAAATGAGATTTCTTCACTGAGAGGTGTGCATCTTTGGAATTCTGTGCCCCAAAGGGCTGTACAAGGACTATATTGAGCATAATTCAAGACTGAAACGTCTTGTTTCCTTGCTGTATGACTTTATGACTCACAAGGTCTTTTGGTATTCCTTATACAGAGCTGATGTTTCTGGAAACCAGTGCACTGACTGGAGAAAATGTGGAAGAAGCATTTCTGAAGTGTGCTAGGACCATTTTAAATAAAATTGAATCAGGTAAAAAAAAAAACAATTACATGCCTTTCTCCTTTTTTTTAAACCTGCTTTTAAACCACCATCTGCACCCAGTTTCTCCTTCCTTGGCTTTGCTGAAGAGCAGTGACAGTTCTCACTTAGTCAAAAGTGCTCATTCCTTACTTGTTAGTCCAGATGCCACATGTTATTTAATTATGGCAAGTATCACAGTCAAATATATCCTGATATCCAGGGTAAGTAATCTGGCTGTGGATCCTGACTAGTAACAATAATGTATCTGACTGCTGACATTGTCTCTCTGCCACCATTACCTCTGACTGATCCAGATCTTGCATAATAAGAGACTTCACTTTCTTCTCTTCAGCTGAACCCTTAAAGAGGAAGAGCTGCATATTTTTGGATGAGACTTCGAACCAGGTCTTCTGATTCTAGTGAATTGTTAAAGATCATGCTATTTCAAAACAGCCGTGGAATCCCACTGCATCATTGCTGTCTCAACCCAGTGGCAAAATGGCTGCCACACGTGCTTAATGGCACTGTGATTCAGAGTAATTCATGTGAAACAGAGGTTTTGGTGCTTTACTGTTTGGCTTTCCATCTTCTTCTAAATCTGAGCTCAGCAAAAACTTATCCCACATTCTAACTTTCACCTTGTCCTCTTCACCCCTGTACTTGCCATCCTCCATTGGCAAGCGTAATCTTAAAATTGTCATCCTTGTGATGGGAGAGTGAGGCCATGAAGGAATTCTGTGTATGGATTTTCTTGTGTTCTTGATTCACTTCACTCCTAATATTGGCTGCTCTGCCTTCAGCTCTCGAGACCCTGACCTTCCCTAAGTCTTGGCTTCTCTCCATCCTTCCAGTCTTAGAGTAGTTCATAAGATCTACCTTTGCTCAAAACTTTTTGTCACCTGTCCCAGTGATGTGCTTTTACTGCATTATAAAGTGTAAAATAAATAGGTGGTTAAGTCTTTCGAAGAGGGGGAAGAGGATGCTGTATAAACACAAATGCTTTTTAATGATATTTAAACCATCAGCAAGATGATGGGACTGTCTTATTTCTGATGGACCATACTTTTAGGTTGTTAAGGGGTGATGTTTTGATGAGCGAGATTCCAAGCCTTGGGGTTCCCCGCAATTCTTGGTTTACTGAGGTTGTCAGGATTAGTTTACCTGGATGATCACTCCTCTGGAGCTGCTGTCCAGCCATTCTGGTTTACTGACTCTCAGAAAACATTGGAAGTGAGTCGGGTCCTATACTGCTATGTGACTTCATCTGTTCCATAGACCCCTCCTGTCCCTGGAAATTAACTGAACCCAGCAAGTAATCATTTCTTCACATGTTACTAAGGAAAAGAACTGACACTGAAGATCACACATGCTTTTAACATAAGTTAGCGTGATTCAACCTGCATTCAGTCTACATTTGTAGCAAGGTCTTTTGGCAGCATAATATTCCAGTTCTGCAACCAGTCCAGTTTGGAAGAGTAACTTCTGACTCAACATTAACTGTGCTTTCTCTCTATGTATGCTGCCAGACCTGCTGAGTTTCTCCAGCACCGTGTTTCTATTTGAGGAATGAGAGCCCTGTCCCTTCCTAGCTCAAGAACATTGTGACCAGATGAGTTGTCCAACTACTGCCTAGTCAAAAAGTAGCTAACTCTGCACAGCTAGTGGGGGTGGAACTATTGTATTGGGTGGTGCATTTAACCCACATATATCCAAGTTGAGCTTGTAGGTGTCTCTTTTTGTGTTAAAGGCAAGTTACCGCATTCATTTATGCTGGAGTTTAAAGGGCTCATTCCCCATGTGTGCGTGGTGAACAGTACAGCTGTCTAATAAGAACGGAGAAAAGAAAACCGGTGTTTTCTGTTTTTACAAACCTATAGGTGAGCTCGACCCTGAGCGCATGGGCTCAGGAATCCAGTACGGTGATGCCTCGTTACGCCAGCTGCGGCAACCAAGGGGTATGCAGACACAAAACAAACAACAGTGCAACTGCTAGGCATAGTGGCAGAGACCTGATGCTGCAGAGCTCACGATAAAGGAGGTAAGTTCACCAAGCACTCGGCAGAGGCATTTCTCGGTATGGGAGATCGTGATGGGTGTGGGATTGGCTGCTAGTGGGCTGATGGGGGTTAAATTGTTACATAGATTGCACAGACTAGTCTTGTGTAACTGTGTGAGTATAGAAGGCTAAGAGCTTAGCTAATTGATGAGTTTAAGGTGATGTAATGGGTTGATACAGAGAAACCCATTTCCTGTAATGAGCAAGAGGCCATAACTTTAAGACTTAAACCAGGCAGTTCAGGGGTAATGTAAGACAGCACTTCTTCGCATTAAAGTGTAATGGAAATCTGAACACTGCTGCCCCCCACCATCTTTAAACAAAAAAGACTGGAGGTGCGGGTCAGTTTATAATTTCACACTGAGATTGATGGGTTTTTGTTAGGCAAGGATATTAAGGCAAGTGGCGATAACCATTCGCCTAACGGCTTTATTACATAGCAGAACAAATTCTGGGGTTGAATGGTCATCTCCTGTACTTTAGCGCTTTGACAGAGAGTTGGATTTGAATCCTGGAGCAGTTCCTGAGGTGATGGATTTTCAACCCACACAGGGATCATGTGTGAAGTACACTTAGCAAGGCTCCTGTGTCTGGGGCGCTCCACAGCACAAAAGGACTACTGCGGAGCGAATTATAATTTCTGAGGAGCCAGAAGGGGAAATGGTGTCATTATATATTGAACATGGTCAAGAAATAGTGGAACTTTATTCTGTATTGATTCTTGTGTTGTTGGGTTTCCTCCGGATGCTCCAGTATCCCCCCCACAGTCCAAAGATGTGCAGATTAGGTGGATTGGCTATGGGAAATGCAGGGTTACAGAGATCAGGTAGAGGGGTGTGTCTGGATGGGATGCTGTTTGGAAGGTCAGTGTGGATTTGATTGGCCAAATTGCCTGCTTCCACACTGTAGGTTTCTCTGATTCTGACCCTATCCGGAAAGTATTTGGTGGAGCCAGTGTCGGGGGAGTTTTATTTACACTTTTTTTGTTTCAAAAAAATAGAGAGAGCTTTACTCTATATCTAACCCAGTGCTGTACCTGTCCTGGGAGTGTTTAATGGGAACAGTGTAAAGGGAGCAGTATCGATGTTGCTCACAACACTCTGAGTGTGCCTATACTAGATGGACTACAGCGGTTCAAGAAGGCAACTAACCACCACCTCAAGGGCAATTGGGGATGAGCAATAAATGCTGACTCAGCCAGGTTTTAGGACGTTCTAGAGTCATACATTAAATACTTTAGGACTGTTTACATAATTATGCAAATACACTAATATAGTATTATTAATTGTTAGATACATTAATGCATGAACATACATTATTATTTACATACTACATTTTAGAAGTGCTTCAGAAGCTGAAAAGCTCTTGACTGCCCTAAGGATATTGAGAGTTTGAGAAAGGAAGCTTTTCCAGTTTACATATCAATACCTCTGACCTTATTTTCTTCTCTTCAATAGTGTACAACTCGATCAGTTTGATGGAAACCTTAGAACCAGAGGATGAAGCACCGGCCATGGCTTATTTTTCTGGGGTTTGGTGCCTTGCCTTGAGGTCTAATGATCCAGAGCTCCCACATGTACAATATAATGTGTGTCATCTGCCTGTTTAGTGAGCTATCCTTACAATTCCAATGTTTTATATAACTGTATTCCTTTCAGTTGACCTTCCTAGCCACGTAACTCCACAGGATGCAAAGAGGAAAATATAATTTCTGCTTTATAAAACAAAAAAGTTGAAAGTGCACATGAGATGACGTGAAGCAGTTGATCTCTCTTGTTGGGCTTTTTGTTTGTGAAGTGATATTCAACTCATAGCGTATTGGCCGACTCTGTGCAATAGACTATATTCATCACTGCCACTGAGTATGTTTATTATTCAAAGTGGCTTTTGTAAATAGAATCCATCATTTCCCATATAACATAACTGTATTGCTACTGGCTCAATGTAACTTCTAATTTAACTTTCTTAACCAAGTACATGTTCATTTGATCCCAATCTATCTCTAGTGTTGGTCAACACGTCCTTTTTGCACTGGATGATTGGTCTGTTTGCTCTTATTTCAATCACTAAAGCCTATTCTGTTTGTGTTCTAGTCATCTGCCTCCTCACCTACGATACTCCTTCCCTTGCGTCAAACTATCTTGCTTGTCTCTTGATATCTCACTTGGCATATGTGTTGGAGTAACAGTGCATTTTCTTGAGAGTTTTACAGCTGGTCTCTCAGTATTTGTTTCTGCCTCACTCCGCTACCCTCTATGTAGCTCTGTGCCTCATGAGGGAGTTTAGGAAAATATAGAGCCAGAGATATTCCATTCTTCCCCTCAAGCCTGCTTCACAATTCAGTTAGATTATAGCTAGCCCATGCTGTAAATCCATTTAGCTGCCTTTGCTCCATGTCCCTCTACCTTTTTCCCAACAAAATCTGACAGTCACTCTTTTGTATTTTGATTGACCCAGCATCCACAGCCTTTTGGGATAGTGTTCCAGATTTCCCCCATCCTTCGCATGGGAGGAAAAGTGTTTCCAACTTTTATACTTCGAGGCAGGTGTTCATGGTTGGTGGGTAGAGTTTGCAGTTTGAGTAGAGAAGTCAGGTGAGTGGAATGCCTGTTTTCACCCCCTCCTGTGTTGTATTGTCTTTGTCTGCTGACTTTGGTTACAAACTGAACCTAAGAGTTCAGATTCCATTGCTGTTCTGGTAGCAGGGTGTTAAACCTTACCTCCACTCATTTCCTGTCTGCATCATTGGAGGTGAGCTTCTTTCCTGTGCCACCTTATTCCCTCGTATAAAATGCCTGCTGGTCAAATGCATTGAAAACCCAGTCTAAATATTTAGTGAATTTAAAAGGAAGTCACCTTGATGCCTAATGCAATGTTTGTAGTTCCTTTGCTGTGTTATTGCACCTTGGACCATCAACCAAATGCTCTGAGCCAAGAAGGCCACTGACTGAGTAAATCTTGAGTGCAATTGGCTACACTTGCTGGGGTCACTGGTGACTCATCAAGTTATTACGCCCAAAGTTGTTGGGAAGAAAGATTTTGTCCATCGAGACCAAAGCAGCTTCAGACTGTGCAAATTGGCAGGTTTGGATCTGGCCTTTGTTTTGAGAGCTGTTGCACCTCGTGTCACACACCACCCCCACACCCAACTCCCCAACCTCTGTGCTTGACAGGCAAGGAATTTACATTGCTTTAAGTTCCTTTAAGACCTGAATGTGAGCCTGACTGTTCCTTCAATAATATTCCTGCTTCCGGATTGAGCAACAGGCTCATGTGTTGAAGGAAGTTTTGTAATGGTTGCTGCTTTGATGCAATGGTCACATTGCATTAACCCTCATTGTATCAATCCAAAAAGTGTCTCGAAACTGCCCCCAACCCCCAAGAAAAACTCTGAATCTTTGAGATTTCATTTATCAAGCCATTTCTATGTGTGGTAGGCTGTACTACAGCAACAAGGGCTGATAAATGAAGCCTGCATGCGTTCTGAGACAGTAGTGAACCATCAGGCTGGAACTGTAAATACATTTACACTTCCAGTCAGCAGATCAGGCAGAACCAAGAACCTACTGCATTATCAACTCTATTCGAACAGTTGGCCTCCATATCATGAACCGAAGTCGGAGTTCCTGCACCTGATTGCTATCTGCTGTGTCCTCTGTTTGTGAGCAGCGGGCTTGGGCAGGATTGAACTTGACCGTGGTAGTAAATCGCTCCACCTCAAATCAAGCTCATTCTGGCTCACAGAGAGAATGTTGATTCATTGCAGTATCAGAGTGGCTTTTGTCTCTGGCATTCCACCAGTTAAAGCTTTCATGGTCCAGCGAAATTGGAGACATATGTATTGACTGTATTTTTTTTGCCTGTATTGTTTGCACATCTACCTACTGGTGGTTTGCAAATGTCCTTGCTGGTCTTTCCAAGGTCACCTTTTTAACTTAGTGCCCTCATTTGTTTCTGACCCTTAGTCATAGAACAGTTATACTCATTCACAGGTAGGGAACCTCCACAATTGAACTATTGCGTGATGCTTCTTGAATACAGTCTTGCCTCACCATTCACCTGTTCCTAATTTTCCCCAGCCGAGCAATGCAGCCATTGCTGGAACTTGGTCTGGATATCAAGTCTGAGCTAATGTAACTTGAAATTAGAGAGGTTGGTCAATAAACATGCCAAAATTCTATAGAACTATGCTGCTGCCCTCCATGTATAATCCTGTTGGACTGCATTCCATACAGTACTGTTTTACAACTTTAACGAAACTTTACAAAAAGTTTCCTTCTAATCACACCATATAGAGCTGTCCTCAGCTTGACCTGATCTGACTTGAGTTCTCGCCAGCCACAACAAGTTCCACTCATCTGGACTCAATGCAGTTGAGATTAGTTTCCCAGGTTGCACCAGGCTCAGCCTGAGCCAGACTCAACCAAACTCGACTCAACTCATCGAAAAGGAACTCCAGCTTGACTCTGAACTCACCCTGCCATGCCTGCTTTGTTCAACATCCTGATGATTAGAACCAACTATCATTTTTTGCGTTGTTGCAAATGCCCTCAGTGTAGAACATGTTGGTTTGCTATCTTCCTTCATCTGAAAAAAATTTGATAATTAGAGACTTGAAGCCAGTTGCAGAATACTGGAAGGGTAACATGTGAATGACTGGTGAGGACATTATTGTACAATGAACCTGTTTCTGCTCACACGCATGCACGCTTTAATACATAGTGATTTATTCAAAGCACTATTGCTGTAAAATAGGGCACTGTTTCCTCAGTGAAACCGTTCCCACTTTAACCTTGATTCACTTGGTCTTAGCCTATAGTGTGGATCCCTTCCATGCAAATCTCTGCAACAGGTGTTGGCGGTTACTGTGGACGAATAAGGAAATATTTGCATCAGTGTTGGATAGAGATATTCCAGGGTTAAACTTCCTATCAGGAAAGTACAAATGAGGCAAATGTGAGAGGATTTAAAAATGCTAAAAGCACATCAGGGGGTTAGGATAATGATTAAACCACACTGTTCCATGCTCCTGGTTTATGATATCGCTTGATCCTCTAGTATGTTCCAGAATTGGTTCGCACAGGCCTGATGAGATGCCCAACTCTGGAATGTGGCAAGCCAGGTGGCACTTCTGAGGTTCCTCAGGTGACCTTCCTCCATGCTGTTCATCTGCTTCCCATCTGAATCTTGACTTTTGGCGACGGAGGTGCCAACCTGTGGTTGCTGTGCAAGATTCTGTTTTGGTCCTCCACACCCCTTCACCTTTCACAAAGAGCACAGGACTTCTGTGCCAGCTTTCCTCAAAGAAAGGGCCCTTATTTGTGTGAATGGTATTACTGTCACCTCGTTTTCTGTAATTGTGGAAAAGCATTTTGCTCTGAAGTAACAGGTTCCCGGTAAGAACAATTGAAAGCAGGTATCTGCCAAGTAGGAGTGGCAGGTGTGACCCTTGCTGGATTTTGCACTGTGCCCAGAATTGAGTTGGTGGCAATTATCAGAAAGTTGATAGCACTGCTGTAGAAGCTGGTACAAGTGGATGCTTGGCATTGTTCTTAGCTTTCAGTTTTCTGGGGATATGATCCCAAAGCTGTGGAATAGCTGAATTTGTTGTTCTGTTGCTATACCTATGAGGAGGCTTTCTCACCAGGTTGCCTGCCAAACATTTGAGGCTATTGGCTTTCCTACAACAGCCAGCATTAATGTTTTGTCACTTCGCCACTTTGTGCAGAACCAAGCTGGCAAGTTCCTCCATCTGCACCCAACTCCCTGTAGCAGTTGAGTGTACAGTCAGCTCTTAACCTGCTGGTGAGTTAATGAATGGCTCGCTGCCCCAGTTAAACCCACGAGCTCTGATGGAACTTAACTCAAAGTGCTTTCCTTGTGTTTTCATGAGCCCATTTAAATTTAACACTGGGCCCCCATCAATATGACACTCCCATTAACCATGAGCCTTCCCCCAGTCCTTTGTAAGTAGCATTTTTTTATATCCATCACAACCAAAGAGATGCAGCCAGTTCTTTTCCTTTCCCTGTCACCTGTTGCCTCTCTGCGCACCTTCTATGCAGTCTCTTGTCTTGAATAAAAATGCAGCCGATCTCTTGAAGCCACGCTCCTACTATGTCCCTCACTCTTGGAGTCAGATGAGGCACAGGAATGAGATCAAAATGGAGTCTTTGGATAGCTAGCAGTGAAAGCAGCTTCCTTTAACCTAAAAAACTTGTGCTTGTATGCTTCCCTCTCTCTCTCCATTCATTGGATTATGATGCTCAGTTTTGAAACAGATCTTCTGGGTTTCCTAACACTTTGAATTGTATCTATCAAATGTACAATGTGAGCAGCACTTCATTTTTATAATCGATAGCATCTTTCTTTTTCCCTTCTCTGAATAACAGGTACTGTTTTCTCCCAGTTTTTTTGCCTGATGCAGTCAGTAATGCTAGAATATCATTGATATACTCCTGTAACTTGGCCTTGCCAGGTCCCCCACACAGTTTCCCCATGCACCTTGAGGTTGTATCCACTGTCCAGTCATTTTGACAGCCATCAGAAATCATTTTCCCCCACACTCGCTCCAACCACCAAACAGAAGTCTGTGTACTGGCCCATCCACTGAACCAATTTATATTTGCACTGCATCTGTAGCATATCACTGGAATACTCATCTGGTTGAGGGGCAGAGCCCCTAGCAAACCGTCAGGAAATGTTAACATTTTGCACTTGGGACAAAACATTTGAAGCAGCAAGTGTGTCTTGCAGTGGATTGGTTAGGGTGAAGGCCCACTTTGGCCCACTCAACAGTCTGGATGTGTGGGTCATGCGGTCAGCTGGAAGGCTGTGTCTCAATTCTGTGGTGTGGCCTGGGGCAATACAGTTTCCTTGCTGGGAACAAAAGGTTGGGAGACTGGGGCTCAATGCTGGAGAGTTAAGTGCTACATTTCTTATAATTGTTTCTCTATAAGTGGAAAATGGAGAATGCAAGAGGGGAAATGTACTCATTTGCTTGGTGAGCATGGCTTGCTCCAGGCCAGGCCACACCACTAACACTCTTCCTTATGCTGTGTTATATTGTCTGTAGTCTTGTAATTGTCTGGTTTTCTTGGTGAGTTTGGGTCTGTGCCAATTTGTGCCCCCGCCTCTGCAGGTGTTAAGAGTTGTTGTGTCAACTCATTGCACATTGAGGTTAACCTGGGTTACACCAGAAAGTGCAGTTGGCCTGACCAACATAACTGTCAGTTCCCCTAACCTAAGTCCTGTCTGTGCTTTCTGAAATCACTGTGCCCCTTTAACTGGCATACAGTCACATTTCCATTTATTTTGTTTGATGGCTGAGAGTGAGTAAGCATGTTTCCTTATTATTTTGTTAGTAATGCATTGTAGATGTGATCTCCCATCTAAGTTGTCATTGGCTGTCAGACAGGGTGTTATAAATTGGTTCTGGTACTAAGTATGGTGATATTGATTTGCTTTATTCCCTTTATAATGGAAAGGGACTGGTTGGAGCTGCTATTGCCCCAGTGATGGAGCAGCCAGCTGATTGTCTGTGCTCACACATGAGTAATGGTAACTTTGCTGAGACAGCAAAATGCCTTTCAGCCTTTGGTACAGAATTAAGATGCATATGGGGCGGAGGATATTGATGGCCTGTCTCAAAACTATTCATTTCCTGTTTGAGTACTGGAAGGAAATTTATCGCAGCCACACCCAGACACCACTGATTGCTAAAATAATCTGCCACTCCAGTGTCCCCTCTTGTGTTATATCAGTCTTTACTTACAAGTAAAAGCCTGAAAACTGGATCCCTACACCCACTGTGAAACAGTCTGTCGAGTTGCAAACAGCACCTATTTTTGTTGATTGTGCTCGTGCTGCATTCCCAATGAATTATTACAACATTTTATTTTTAAAAATGATGTGAATGAGACAAATGCAGTTGTCTTAATGGCCAGTATGTATAGTTGGAGCCCAACCTTGGTCTGTAAATAGGTTAGGTTTTTGATTCTGTCTCTTGTGTTTTATGCTGTTTTTTGTTTTGGTCAATGTTATTTATTTCAGTATATGTTTTTGCTTGTTCTGTGATCATAAACTGCACCTCGAGTGCTTGTGTCCATTTGAAGGAAGAGGTGTGAAATCCAGGCTACCTGAGCTCCAAATCTAACTGGGTATCAGAGCGCTTAAGGCTGTCATTTTGCTGACTGAGTGGGCACTCGTCACTGCTGCCACTCCAATTAATTCATGGGTGGGTGTAAATCTCCTGCATTGTTGTACAAATTTCATTGGCTTCTTTCTTCGTTGCGCCGTCCTTCAGGTAAGCCCAGCTCCTCATCACCTTGTTGAGGGGGGGGACCATGGTGATTGTAGCTTACCCTTTCTGTCAAACCCTACAGCGTTTTTAAGTCATCTCTGACAGGGGTACCAAAATGAATTGGCAGCAGTGAAAGACCCTGGCACTCCCTTTAACCCAGGACCACTCCGTGTCTGGGAGGGGCAGCGGTTGGGGTGTGGTGTCTCAAACTCTGAGGCAGCCAACCATGGCCTCCCAAACAGGTCCACGTGGTCAATCTCATGCCTTGGGGCATTCACTGCTCTAATCTATTAGCTTGTTGTAGGTTGGGAATTCTACCAAGCCCTGAGAAATCATTCCGTCCTGACTCATAGCAACAACTGTTTGACTCCTTTACCCGTACCCCTCTATTTAGTGCTCCCTGATGCTAAGCGCACTTGCCCATTACCTCCTTGGGCAGCACAAGTTGGGTTGAGGAGGGTGTGAAATTGCAGGAGTGCAGTTGGTGATGGGAGAGGAGAGGGAATAGCCACAAAACAGCAAGTGAAAGGACCCCATTTAACCCAACAAGGCTGTTTTCTAGAGTGCGCCCAAGTGGAGGGGCTTTTACTGTCAGTCACTGAGCCCAGATCTTCCACGTTCCCAGCAGCCATAGCACTGCATGGCGAAGTGAAGAGATATAGCAGAAAGGTAAGTTGCTGCTCCTTCATCCCAGCCACAGTTGATCAGTCATTGAAAGATTGTGTAAATAGAGCTGTTTGTGTGCCCCATTCTCCCCACTGCCACCTTGCTCGCTGTCATCACTGGAGACAGTGGAGAAATGAGTACCTATCATGTGGGATGTAGCAGGGAGTCAGGCTTCTGAGGGTGCACCCCACCCTTTACCACTCAAAATCAGTCCCAGGGCTTATCTCTGTGCATGTTCCATGTGGCCAAGGGGTCCCCTTTGCACAGACCCTGGATGGAACAGCAGCAAGTTGCTCATTGACCATACCAGAGCATACAGTTTGGAAGAGGGTACTTCCTGGGAACACTGCAGTAGAATTGTCCAGAAGCTCATGCTGCATCTGGAGCTGCAATCTGTGTGTCCTCACTGACTCCCTGGAGAGCTGGATTTCTGTTCACTGTCTGCACCCTCCTCAAGAAAGCTCTGTGTCCTAGTTTTCACTTGGTTTAAAAGCCTCATGACATGTACTCCTGTTTCCTGGGTTTTGCTTCCTGTGTTGCATAGGAATGATGGGTGGGCCCCATGGCTCCACTACTGTCACCTGCCCTAAGAAGTCTGTTGTGTAGGTGATGTTTTGGCTTCTTATTTAAAGCAACCAATTACAGTTTGCCAATGTGGAGTGCGACAGCTTCATTAAACAAAAGGCGAGAGTGTCAGTGAGTATCTTCGCCTTTTGTAACATCCAGTGCATTGGTGTTCCATTCCTCTCCCCACTCTGTTTGTGCTAAACTCCATCAAGAAGAGGAGCCAAGTTTTCCTGTTCTGTCGAGGTTTACCAAGAAGGGCATACAATGGGATGTTGCTTTACCTGGTACCTATTAAACCATAGCCAAGGACCGAGTGTTTCACCACCGTTCAGTGAACGCAAAATAAAAACCTTTGTGTGTTTGTTTCCCCACTCCCCTTTCTATTGTGAGATCTGTGTGATTTGAAAATGTTTTCTGTGCCCTTTGCTGTCTCATTGAGGTGTAGACCTGTTTTACTTTGCATTTAGCCTTGCAAATGTCTACAAATAGGTGAGGTTGAAGTTCACGGTGGGAAAAGTTCCTCTCTGGTGACACCCGAGACTCGGCACTCCCACCATCACCACCGCCACCCCCCACCCATGGCAATTGTTAACATCAATCTAGCAACAGGTGTGGGTCTCAGTTCTGGGTGTGGAGGTGTAAGTGTCCAAAGCCAGCCAACGAGTTCTGATAGTCCCAGCAGAAAGGTGCCTGGCATAGTCAGTTCTTCTGGAGACCAGAGTCATGCTCTTCCCTTCTGCTTGTATGTTCATCACTGTCGCTGGGTGAGGGATGAAGACCTCATGCAAACACCTGCCAATGACACTCCTTGTGGATACTTGTACCTGTGTCTTAAAACTGTTTTCATGCTGAGAGTTCAGCTTGTGGCTTAACTCTGTGGTAAACCACCCCCTTTATACGATGGTACAGACTAGACGCAGTGATAACGTACAGTTTTCTTTTTCCTAAGCAAAGTGTCACATATCCATCCCTGTGTGTGCAAACCTTCCCACAGACTGAAACATGTGCAGGCAATAAAGAAGCTGATTGATTGGCCAGAAGATACTTCACCACTCCGATGGGTTGAGTGAGAACTGGGGTAGGATTCCCCGCTCTGGTTGGGTGATTCATCCCCAGTTCCACTAGGCCCCAATGCAATCCTGGGTGAACAGAATAAACTGTCTGGTCTCTGTGGCCTTGAGTTCCAGCCTGTGATGGGGCAGTGAGGGAAACCAGTCATTCCCCAGTTTCTCACACCAACCAGCAGCCCCTGGAATTTAAGCTGCGCAAGTTCCTTTGAAGATGCTTTTAATGATTTGAGCACACGTACTTAAATCTTCAAAGAGAAGTTCCTCTGCTTATTTGATGCTAAATCTTTTCCTCGCCATTATTGTAATGTACTAAAATGTGAAGGTGGCGGTGTTTTGGAAACTTTCACTGCAAACACAGGTAGTTCAACATATGCAACTGAAGATGAATCTAGATGACTAACAGTGGAAGCAAAATGCAGTCACCTCTTGGGGCTAACATGGCCTTCAGTATAAATAACTTGATGTGTTTTGAATGCTGTACAGAGACTGCGCTGTAAAACCTAATGAATAGCACTACTGTGATTTGGGGGAAAAGAGTAAATCTGCAATAATTCCTTGTGTTAAATTGTTTTTGGATTTATTTTTGCTTATACGTACATTCATCCATAAATTGCGACTTTTTTTAACAGCACGTTGCCTCAGATGTACCAGATTCCTGTAACAAAGTCATTGATTTAATTAAAACATTGACAAATACCTTGTGCTGTGTCTTCTGTCTGGTCTTTGTGTGCATGCTGGCAGGTGACAACAAGATTGGGTTTATCTCAGAATCCCAGAAGCGCGGAAAGAGGCCATGAGGCCCATCAAGTCTCTACTGACCCTCTGTAGAGCAATCCAACAAGATTCGAAACCCCCCCTGCCCCACGTCCAATCCACCTAACCCTCACATCTTTGGACGGTGGGAGGAAACCCACGCAGACACAGGGAGAATGTGCAGATTTCAGACAAACTGTCACCCGAGGCTGGAATGGAACCCGGGTCCCTGGTGCTGTGAGGTGGCAGTGCTGATCACTGTGCTGCCCAAACAGTTTCTCATGGTTTGATCTCCAAACTGAGAGAGTTGGCACTTATGCTAAAACAGGACTTTTTATTCTACATGGTGTCCTGGTGTTGCTAACAAGACCAGCATTTGTTACCGTCTTTTTTTTTCCCCAGTCATGGGATGATGGTGTCACAGGTTGCTAGCCAGACCAGGAAGAGATGACATATTTCCCTCTACAATGGACAGTGGTTACATGGTCAGCATTTGGCTAGCTATTGACTCCAGATTTTTACTGAATTTGGATTTCACCATCTGCCTTTGTGGGAATTGAACATTATTTCCCCATAACGTTTGCCTGGAGTTCTGGATTCCAGTGACATTACCACTATGACTGTGCCTCTCCTGTCTAATTACCCTTGAACTGAGTATCCTGGCAGACCATTTCAGAGGCCAGTTAACCAATGATATTGCTGCGGACCTGGATGTACATGTGAATGTCCTTCCCTAAAGACCATTAGTGGAAGTGTCCTGATACTGACTCTGCAGCAAAAAAGCCCATCTTGTATCAGTTCTGGCCTGTGATTCTGACATAATGACAGAGCTTGATTGATGGAAATGATAGGGATAATTAATTGAAAAGGAGCACTATTTCAATATATCCCACTGCATAGCAGACTGGTGGGATTGGATCAGATAACTGTCTAATATCACACGCTCGACAAGAGCTGAAATTGAATGGGGTACAATAATGAGGTTCTGATCTGTTCCCTCAATATCCTGCCAGGAAATACCTGCCTGGAGTTTGTTTTGAATCTAATAGGAGGATGGACAAGAATCATATGCATTGTGTTTAAAATAGCAAAAGATTCCTACAGTACTAATTTTTAACAAATGTGTATGTTTATTATATTGGTGAATGAGGTGGGTGTTTAATGAGAATTGCTGATATGCTTTATGGTCACCCTTAATGAGATTAACTTTCAATTCCAAATTAGAATTTGATCAAAGCATTTGACCAAGCCTCTGGATTACTAGTCTACATGCCAAGTGTTGGCAATGCATTTGAAATTGAATCCTGACATTCCCATTTGAGTCTTTTCTGAAGTGGGGCAGAGAGATCTTTTGTTTTGCTCTAATGCAAGCTAACTTGTTCTTTTAAAAACAGACTTTTAAGTCATAGATGTTTATCTAAAAGTGTGAGTCTCACTTGAACCTCTCAATCCTTTCTCCCAGTACAGTTTAAGAGCATGAGAAATTGGTGCAGGGATAGATCACAATCACTGCTACAAGTGGAAACATCTCCACTCCTACCCTATCAAGCCCCTCTGTAACCTCGAGCACCTCCCTCTTCAGCCTTCTCTCCACACACAAGGAGAGCCTGAGCTTGTATAGTCTTTCCTGATAAATGTGCTGTCTCAGTCCCGGTATTGACCTTATGCATGTTTTCTTTCTGGCTTCCAGAGTGGTTCTTGCTGACCTGCTTGTATCTACTTCCATCCAGGATGGTACACCAAATTCCTTTGTTTTGCACTATGCTCTCTCTTATCCACTGTGATCAGAACCACCCACAGGGAAGGGTAAATAGAGGGTGACCAACTCTGGCCTTGTGTTTTTTGGGGCAGGGTATCCCTTGCTGGCACCATGGGCATCTGGTAGAAACTGAGCACCAGCGGCACCAGGGTGGGGAGAAGCCTTTGAATAGATGTGAGGAGCACTGTATGAACTTCCATTTCTGGTTCAGTTTGAATGTGACAGTGTCATCCAGGCAAAGGAACTTTATGGAAATCTCGCTCACAATCCCATGAGGATTGTTGAGGTACTGAGAAATCTGGAACATAGAATCCCTACAGTGCAGAAAGAGCCCGTTTGCCCCATCGAGTCTGCACTGATCCTCCACAGAGTCTCCCACTCCATCCCTGTAATTCAGTATTTTCCTATGGCTACTCCACCTAGCCTGCACATTCCTAGATACTATCGGGCAAAAACCCATGGCCAGTCCACCTAATCTCCATATCTTTGGACTGTGGGAGGAAACCCACACAGATACAGGGAGAATGTGCAAAGCCCATACAGACTGCCCCCTGAGGGTGGAATCGAACCCGGGTCTCTGGCCACTGTGAGGCAGCAGTGCTAACCACTGAGTCACCATGCTGCCCTGTGTTTTGTGGAAAACACCTCCTCCTTGGCACCGTTTAGGGCTTGGCCACGTTGAAGTGGATCGATCTATTGCAATTATACATAACCAAAAGGGGATATAACTCAAATGGGTAAAGTTGCCATAGTCCTACTGGACCGTAAGCTGCTCTCATTAGAGAGAGGATCACTTCACCCAGCGGTGCCTATGCTGGGGTGGCATGGTGGCTCAGTGGTTGGTGCTACTGCCTCACAACGGCAGGGACCCAGTCGGGCGACTGTCTGTGTGGAGTTTGCACGTTCTCCCTGTGTCTGTGTGGGCTTCCTCCAGGTGCTCCGGTTTCGTCCCACAGTCCAAAGATGTGCAGGCTAAGTGGATTGGCCATGTTAAATTGCCCATAGTTTCCAGGGATGTGTAGCTTAGGTTGGTTATAGGGGTTGGGTCTGGGTGGGCTGCTCCAAGGGTCGGTGTGGACTTGTTGGTCCGAAGGGCCTGTTTCCACACTGCAGGGATCCTATGAGAAACCTCAGGTTGGGGGAGAAGTTGAGAAGGAGAGATCTTCTGGGGTGGCACCGTAGCTCAATGGTTAGCACTGATGCCTCACAGCACCAGGAACCTGGGTTCAAGTCTACCCTTGGGTGACTGTGTGGAGTTTGCATATTCTCCCCATGCCTGCATGGGTTTCCTCCCACAGTCCAAAGATGTGCAGGTTAGGGTGGATTGGCCATGGGAAATGCAGGGTTACTGGGATAGGATGGGGGGGCTGCCTCTGGGTGGGATGCTGTTCGGAGGGTTGATGTTGGCTGAATGGCCTCATGCCACACTGTAGGGTTTCTATGATTCATGGTCACCTCAGCTGGTGTGGGAATTGAACCCATGCTGTTGGCATTTCTCTGCATAGCAAACCAGCTTGCCAGTAAACTGAGTAAACAACTTGATAGGAAGAACGAGAGCAATGCAACATGCACAAATGGTCACAATTCTACGGGATGCAGGAATAGAAAGACCAACCAAGAGAGGGGTGCAGAAAGCACTGAGGGTGACAGGGAGAATGGCATATGAGAGCCTGGGATTTATAAATGGAGAACAGAAAGGAAGTGATGATAAGCAGCTATAAAACATTGCTTGGGCTTTAGTCGGAGCACTGTGCCCAATCTGGCTGTTGCTTTTGGAAAGTTTAATAAGTGCAGGAAAAGATTGAATGGTTCAATAGATTTGTAACTTTAGTTATGCAGATAGATTGAAAAAGCAGGGATTATACACTGGAGAAGAGAAGGTTAAGAGGTGATTTGATAAAGACATTGAGTCTCGAGGCATCTAAACAAGAGGGAAAGGAAATGGTGAAAGGGTCAAGAAACACAGGACACAATTTAAATTAATGGGAAAAACAACCAAAGGCCACCTGAGAAAATTTTAACACGGTGTATGTTTTTAGTGAAGAGTGAAGGCAGATTCGATTGTGACTTACATAGGGAAATTGGACTAGTAGCTGAAGGCAAAACAAACTACAGGGAATAGGAGGATCTGGTTTATACTTGTGAGCTGGTACAGGCTTGATGGGCAGAATAGCCTTCTGTGCAGTAACTATCCAAGATCTAGTCATTATTGTGTTATTGTGGAAGATTGCTGTGTGCAAAATTGACTACGCTTTGAAAGTATTTAATGGGCTGCAGAGCGATTTGGGACTTCCTGCAGTGGTGAGGGTGCTGTAGAAATGTAAATTATTTTCAACACTCCCCCAGTACAGTGAGTATCTGCGTGGGTTATCACCTTCTTGATTTGAACTCAATTTTCCCCACTTACTGACTTGATTACACTTGGATAGTATTCCAAAAAAAATTATGGATTTCTGGAAATCAGAAACAAGCACAGCAATTGCTGGAAAAGCTCAGCAGGTGTGGCAGCATCCATGGAGAGAAAGCAGAGTTAGGGTGGATGGTTGGATAATAAATATTGCATCTTCCTTCTCTCAC